TATCAACGTGGATCTCATCTTGACTTGCTACACTTTAGTCAAGGCGACATAAATTTTGTATTTCTTCCCTACCATATCAGCATTCTTTGCTGCTTTACTGGTAAACACAAATGTTTCATCTTTGCTCACTCTACCTGAGTGTCAAAGGCGGTTGTCGGTGTGAGAGAGCCAACCTTTTTGACCTATACGACATACTAGACATTGTATACTTTCAGACAGCCGCATAAAGTGATGATAGAAAGATATAATTTCATTAATGAGGTTTACATATTACACTTTACGCATGCCAAGGGCTTGCACATGTTCTTTAAAAACTTTTTTGCCTATTGGCTTTGTCAGGGGATCTACTACTATACATTTGGTTGAAATGTATTGTACAGTAACAATGTTTTGTGCTATATAATCTCTAACAAAATTATACTTGATGTCAATGTGCTTGGTCTTACTGTGATACTTAGGATCTTTAGTATAGGCTATGGCTACAGTATTGTCACAGTGTACTACTACCAGATTGGTACTCTTGTTTCCAAATCCAAGGTGTTCTATAAACCTTTTTAGCCATAAAGCCTCTTGCACTGCTGTGGTGCATGCCACAAACTCAGCTTCTATTGAATGTAAGGCAATGCACGTTTGCTTCTTGCTGCTCCAACATATAGCACCATTGTTTAGCAAGAACGCATAACCTAAAGTTGACCTTTGTTCTTCTTCATCTCTGCTTACATCAGCATCGGAGTATCCAACAAGGCACAGGTCGCTTCCTTCGTAGCACAGTGCATAATTAAAAGTGCCCTTTAAGTATCTCAAGATCCTCTTCACTGCTTTCTAATGCTTTTTACCGGGGTTAGATTAGAATCTGCTTACCAGTCCCACTGCATAACAAATGTTTGGTCCTCTACACATCATTATGTACATCAGACTGCCAACAACATTGGCATATGAAACTTTTTCCATCTTTTTTTTTGCCAGACTCGGTTTTGGGACACATGTTAGGACTCAAAGCCACTCCAGTAGCAACAAGGGTACTCATGGGATTGCAGTCTGTCATGTTAAATCGCTCAAGAATCTTGTTGATGTAATTCTCTTGTGAAAGAGAGAGGATTCATTTTGAACGATTTCTTTAGATCTTAACTCCAAGTATATACTCTGCTTCGCCCATATCTTTCATCTCAAAATTCAACGAAAGCCATTCTTTAATAGCCACCATTGAATCTAGACTATTTTTGGCCAATAGTATATCATCCACATATAAGGATAATATAACAAAATTACCCTCAAACCGCTTAATGTAGACGCAGTGGTCTTCCTCTATCATCTGGAAGTCATATGAGGTTATTGCTTTGTGAAACCTCAAATACCACTGTCTGGATGATTGTTTCAATCTATAAATGGATTTTTAAGTTTACAAACTTTGTTCTCCTTTCCTTTTTCAATGAAACCTAATAGTTGTTTCATATAGATTTTTTTAATCTAGATCACCATTTAGGAATACGGTTTTTACATCCATTTGATGTAATTCTAGGTCTAAACTGTTTACTATTGCCAGACTAAGTCTAATAGAGTTGAAACACACAACAGGTGAGAATGTATCTTCATAATCTATGCCTTCCTGTTGTGTGTATCCCTTTGCCACTAATCGAGCCTTATATTTGTCAATTGATCTATCCACTTTTCTTTTAATATTGAGAACCCACTTGTTCCCAATGGCTTTATGCCCTTTTAAAGGATCAACTAACACCCAAACTTTGTTCTTTTTCATTGAGTCCATTTCTTCTTCCATCGCTTTCATCCATTCCTCCTTCGCAAGACTTGACAAGGTTTCTTGTATAGAACGGGGCTCCTTATCCCCTCCTGGAGTAACTAAGAAAGATTCGCCTTCAATTTGAAAGTGTCTTTTGGGAATACTTTCCTTGTTACTCCTTCTGACGGGAGCTACTTGTTTGTCTTTCTTTCTTTGTTCAGGTCTCGGTGTTGACCTTTCTTGACTCTCACTCAGATTGACACACCTAGACAATTCTAGTTTGTCAATATGTTTTGCATTGTCTTGTTTTTGTGTCTCATAAAGAGAAATAGTGTGGTCAATATCTCCTCTATCAGGAAATTCAGTCTCAATGAACGTTACATCTCTTGATTCTATTTCAGTCACCATTCCATCTTCATTTTCACCTATGAAAACGTATCCCTTTGATTGTTCAGAGTACCTTATGAAGATACATTTCTTTCCTCTAGGACCTAATTTTCCATACTTATAGGAACCGTTATGGATATACGCCACTGACCCCCAGGGTCTTAGGATGCTCAAATCTGGTTTGCGTTTTGTCCATAACTCGTAGGTTGTGGAAGTGACTGATTTTAAGGGCACACAGTTAAGTATGAAGATTGCCGTTAACAGAGCTTCACCCCAATATGAAATTGGCAAGTTTGCTTGGGCCATCATAGACCTAACCATGTCCAAAAGAGTTCAGTTTCTTCTTTCATCAACTCTATTTTGTTGTAGAGTGCCAAGGATAGTCAGTTGTCTAATTATCCCTTTCACTACACAGAGCTGTTTGAACTGTTCAGATAAGTATTCACGACCTCAATCAGTGCGTAATGCTTTAATTTCATTGTCCATTTGATTCTCTACCTCGTTATGTATCGTTTAAAGCACTCAAGAGCTTTAGACTTATGCAAGATCAAATAGACATGACCATATCATGAAAAATCATCAATAAAGGTAATAAAATACCAAGCTCCATGTCTCACCCTCACACCCATTGGATTACATATGTCAGAATGAATTAATTGCAATGGATTTTTAGCTCTTGTTCTCTTATCAAAAGGCTTTCTTGTTGCCTTACCAGTGAGACAATTCTCACATAGTGACATTTCCATATTCAGAATGGCACCTAACAACCCTTCTTTGGCTAATTTAATCATTCTATTTTGACTAATGTTCCTAGTCTAGCATGCTAGGTGTTTATGTCAACATTACTCGAAGAAATAGCAAAGCATTCATTATGATTAAAATCACCAACAATATCCAAAACAAAGAACTTTTTAAACAAGAAGACTAAACCACCAATGACTGAGTTGCTTAAAATGTCTGTAACTTTACCATGAAAGTTTACATCAAACCCAAACTCTAAAAGGCATAAAACAGAAACCAAGTTTCATTGGATGTTGGGAGCGTGAAGTACATCATGGAGTATCAAGGTCTTCCCACCATGCAAAGTAAATTTGCAGGTACCTAGACCTTTAACCTCGATCCTCACGTTGTTCCCAATGTAAAGCCACTTGTTTTGATACGGTAATTGGTAGTACTCGATAAAGGATCCTTGATCCCTGGTTACGTGGTCTGTGGAGCCTAAGTCTATAATCCAAGAAGAAGAAAAAGGTTTTGCTAGTAAAACAGTGCTAGAAGCATATGAAACATATGAATTCACATAATTCACTAATACCTTTTCCCTCTCAGTCTGTTTTGAACAGTCACATGTGAAATGGCCTATTCTCTAGCAGGCTAAGTATTTAACCTTTTTTAGGTCTAGCTTCTTCTTCCCACCTTTCTTTCCCTTCTTCTTGAATTGCTTCTTTCCCTTTTTGGGTTAAGGACCACTATTCTTCCCTTTCTTTTGGAACTTCTTGCCCTTCTTGGAATCAGGCCTTGATTGAGAAGTGCCAACATCCTCAGTGTAATAAGCTTGTCCAAAGGTCTTGTAAGCCTCTAAATGTTCATCCTCTAGCTCCAAGTGCTTAGTTATATCGTTAAAAGTAACGATGTTTTCATTATGGGTCATATTAACCTTCATATGCTCCCAACTAGCTAGGAGCGATCTAATAATAGCCTGCACCTGCTATTCATCAGACAGAACATGTCCAGCTTCCTTAAGTTCTCTGATCATGTTGCCTATTTCCCTCAGATGTTGCTTTATAGGATTGTTTGGCTTGAGTTTGTAGGTGTCAAACTTAATCATTAACCTCCTTAGTTTACTAATAGAAGTACCACCAAACTTATCCTTCAATGCTATCCACATAGCTTGTGCAGTTTTGTGCCTCTCAAATTTGCACATTATGTCATCAGCCATTGCACTCAGAAGTGTGATTCTTGCTATGCTGTTTTTCTTCTTCCAAGCTTGGCAAGCTTCATGGTCTCTCCTATGTTGGGCTGTGTTCCCAGCTTCAGGTTCAACTATAGTAGTTGTTAGAGGTTCAATAGCATCTTATTCCTCTAAGATATATTGGACCTTTCGGTACCAAATATCCCAGTTATCCCTATTAAGCTTTTCCCCTTTATTAAGCTCAGCAATTATGTTCTTGGTTGCCATTTTCAATTCTGTGACAAATTTATCCCACATTATTCTACGTTCTCTCTAAAAGAGAGACGTACCATAAAACATTTCAGTTATACAATGTCATGTACTTATAATGTTCTTGATCAGAAAATAATAACACTACAAGATCCATGATCAAGAGCGTATGTTTGTATCTCCCATCACACAGATACAAGCAATAATCATTATGCTCTATCAAGAATTCTATATAAGTACTTCTATGACTCTTAGAAGTTTTATCTCCTAAAAGCTCCCACTTACAAAAAGCATGCATATATTATTCACAAAATAATCATTTAACAATAATTTAAGTAATTAAATGAAATAAGACACTTAGTCTGTTTACAATGCATGAAACCAAAAGCTTAACATAACAAATATTAATCAAGCAAATACAAATATTACATCATTTGATATGAATATGGTCATCAAGCATTACTTTCCTCAGTTTCTTAAGTTTGCGTGTTTTGGTCATAAAGGAGGATAATAAATCTATAGTCCAAATCCAGTAAAACTTCCTCATGGGTTTTCCTTTAGGTTCGCCTCTAACCCTTATTGCTCTTATGTATTCCATTATGACTTTAAGGTAGAATTTGGTATTCTTCTCATCAGTCATGTATTGGACGTAACTGGCAAGCATACCATTGATGCCTTTTATGTTTGTCAATTTGGCTGCATCTCTTTTAGCTATACTCATAGAACTCCATCATTAAAGACCAAGTGAGGTTCGGCACGGAGGGGTTCAATAGGGAATAAAGTTTCCGACTCAGGTCCAGAATCCATTAACTCCTTCGGGTCTTCTTGAGGAACCTCTTTAGGGTCCTCCTCAGGTTCATATTCTAGAACTCCATCATCCATGTATGAGTATTCCAATAAACCATGTTCGATATTTTTAGTGCTATCAGAAGCCTCTTGCTTCATTTTCACCTAAAACAAAATAATATAAATTATTTTGAATATTCTGAAATTTTTATTCGTATAAAAATACCAGAAAAAGCATTGAACTACTCACAAAAGGATCCTTAATTGTCTCAAAAATTAGCAAATTATATATCAAAATGAAGACCTTGATTTTAGGGATTTTTAGAGACAAATCGCACCTTAAACAAAGCTCCCACACACCTACACGGGCCCTTAGAAGAATAAATACTACAAAAATAAAAAGAATTTTTGAAGCCCACTTGTGGGCACAATGCCTGTACTCCACGCACCGCCATGGAGCACCTTCTGTATCACATGCCGTTCCGGCAGCCTCCACATGTCGCCACCTTTTTGGAGGTGATGTCCACGTATGAAGGGGGTACGCCACGTGGCGGCACGCGCGTCATGTGGCAGTCGTGGGGTTTTTGTTTTTTATTTTAAAAATTCCCTTTTTTATTAAATTTTTTTTATAATGGATTTGGACTGGTGACTGGTTGGGCTCGGTCCAGCTTTGGCCCAACCGGTTCCCTCCACCCATTATTTTTTAATGGACCGGTTTTTTTTACCAGAAAACCTTTTTTTTTTTTGCAGTGATCAAAACGATGCTGTTTTGATCACTATTCACTGTCTTCTACCTCCAGTTGGGTCAACCCGACCTAGCTAGAGCAATGGGTCAGGTCTGACAGACCCATTGGACCCAGAATCTACTCTCCTCCATATCTCTGCCGTCTGGTGTCTATTTTTTTGTGCATTTTATATTGTTTTCTTCGTTTTCATCCTCTACACAATGGGATAGGTTTTGGGGGCTAAAAAATTGATTTTAAGCATACCCAAAAATAAAAAGAGGATGCGGCCGAAAAAACGTTTTAAAAAACATTGAGTTCATAGAGGCAAAGACCAACCGAGTATGTCTAGTCACAATTATAAGACACAGAAAACTATTATACTAAAAATAAAGTAGAGGATTTGCATAATATATAATGAAGCAAATCACAGAACCAAATTATCCAATGGAGAAGTAAGAAAAATAAAATGCAAGCTTCATACACAGATAGAGCAATAGAAAAATGTAAGCCACAGATAACTAGGCTCTGATACCAATAATGGATTTCAGGCATACCTAGAATCTACAATGATATCAGATAGCCACGCGAAGGTTTGATCACGGTGATGGAGTTGGATCAGTGTTTCACGGCGAATACACCAAGAGAGAAAGAGAGCAGTCAAAGAAAAAAAGAATGAACCACACACTGCGAATTAAAAGAAGGAATCAATGAATATTTGTGCGGTAGTTTTTTGAGTATAACTACCTCCACTTATCCACAATTCAAAAACAAGAAGGGGAAAATCGCAACTAAAGACCCAGATTTCTTGTTATTTTCACTAGAACCCCAAACTTAATGGGCTTGGGTCCAATCTACTAAAGGTGGACTGGTTTATTTTCCTATGCTTATGATATCTTGTAGCTTTTTCTAGTTGTGCGAGTTCGTGGCTCTATTTGTAGTTTAAAATGGGGTCAATCATGGAAGTTAAATAACTAACAAGAAAAAGTAAAATTGACGATTAAAAAATCTATACAAATTGAAATTTAAATATTAATGGAAGTTAAAGTTGAAAATTTTAAATATTAATGGAAGCCAAAATTGAAATTTAAATATTAATTAATGGAAGTTAATTTAAAATTTTGAAATTTAAATATTTATGGAACTTATTTGAAATTTTCTAAGATAATTATTAAGATTTTATTTGGGAGTTTGAAAATTTATATCGGATATTATGGGAATGTTTAACTATTTATGGAGGTTAATTATTAAGTTTTTATTTGGGAGTTTGAATCACATATATTGGATATCATTTATCCTTTTTTTTATCTACCTTCCCATGATCTCTGCTTATTTCTATTATAACTATTTTGGAAGTTATCCGTGAATTTGCATATTCCTACTTATTCCCACTATTTATCTCTTTTTTGTGGTAAAATCGGTTAGTTATCTCTTAATGCATTATTTTTATTTAAATTCTTTTAGTTGAATTGTTAGGATGAATTGTTTATTTATATTTTTAGTTGAATTGTTCAGATGTATTGTTTATATCCTATAATGTATTGTTTATTCTACTTAAAAGATATTCAGAATATTTTATTTTGTATCTTTATTTTATTTTTGATTTTTCTAAATTTAAGATTGCATAATTTTTTGTAACTACCTTCCTATTATCTAACTTTATGTCTAAATATAATTATTTTGAAAATATTTTGTTTTATATCTTTATTTTATTTTCCACAATTTGAATTAAGATTTTTGTACCTACCTTCCCATGATCTTTGCTTATTTCTCTTATAACTATTTTGATAAGGTATTTGTTTAATTTTCTGCATTCCAAATTTTAGATACAACTTAACCACGTTGGCCGATCGAGCAAGGGTCAGGCTTCATTATTTCCGAGTGATGGTGCGAGGTAGACTCCGAGTTGTTGGGTTGACATAGACAAAAAGCCAGAACGACTGGCACCACATTCAACACTAACTATGGCACAGAAAGAGTGGGCTTTAAATTTTAATCTTAGATACTGATGGTAAAGCTACTAATAGAACAAATAATGTTGTTTACAAAGAGGTTTTCCATAATATTTATGTTTAGATTATAGCAGTATTGTTGACATCATCTCATTAGTTAGACTCTGGGCGCCTTTGTTTATTCATATTGGGAATGGATTGAGTTATCTATTTTATCGTAACTATCATATACCAAGAGATATTGGAATATATATTTGGTGCATATTACTCTGAATGCGCTATTGATGCGTGGGGTTCTAAACTAGTTTTATATAAGTTCAGATGCATCGTATTTTTTGGCAATTTGTTAAACAAAATTTTAAAGTAATAAGATTAAAACCCTTGACCGGTAATTCTTTTGGCTTTATTATTATTATTATTATTGCTATTGCCGTTCCTGTTGTTTTTTTCATTTTGCTGATTACATATGTCTGTAACATGATGTGATAAGATTTAATAATTTATTATGTAAAATGGGTTAAATGAGTCCACTTGATTAGGAATTCTATTTGAAATGTATTGAGTACGATGTTTAATTCTGCATTGGTTTATTTTGATTTTGCTGTTAAATAATCCATCACATAACAACAGGATACACAATTTATAGGCCTTATTCAACTCTCAACGATTTCCCATGTTTGTAGCATAATAATGTAACACTTAATAATTTCACTATTTACATAGGTTAAATGAGTTATTTAATTAGAAATTATGTTTAAACTCATCAATGCGTTTTAATTAAAATATTACATTATCCAAGCATTTAAATGGATTTATATGCATTTCAGTTAGGATCTCATTATTTTGTTAGGATTTTGTGTTATTGGAGTCTGAATGTCTAGATTATGTGCATTAGTTTATTAGATTAGTGGACTTGAAATTCTGCCTATACATTTAAAAAAAACTAAATCACAATTACAAATATTTACAAATCACAATCATTTGAAAGGATCAAGCACTATACATTAGACCATCTAAAACGTGGAGTCGACCATGGATTATGTATAGTCAAATCATAAAACTATCCGTATTTCTTGTAATCCTGATTTCACTGTGATGATACACTGATAGATGCAGGCCTTCTCTCATAGCCAACCAAGTAACTATATTATAGAAAATGTGTAATGCACCCTTCATTACCTGTATGTATTTTGTGATTATAGTTGCTGTAAGAAAATTAGAGGAAAAACTGACATTCTTAAATGGCATGATCAGTAGTGCATTAAAATTCAAAAATATTTGAAAGCATTTTTTATTATTGGAGATCAACATCGATTGTGGTTGCACTCTACAAAAACTAAAACACACACAAGATTCACCCAAGCTAAGATACTCATCAAAAAGTAGAGAGAGAGACACCAGCAAGAGTGCCACTATCTCTCCATGTCCCATATCACCAAAATTGCTCTCAACAAAACACCACAGTCGTAAATCAATGCTTTTCAAACTAATATAGCTCTCAGCAAACTCATTGCAATATCCTTGGGGAAAGATCAATTAGATGTGTCAATTTATGTGCGTAGAGAGACTTGCACTAAGAAAATCAAAAGAAAAGAAATAGGATAAATAGTTTTACTCACAATATTGACCGAGGGGAAGAAATCCGGTTCAACCTCTTCTTTCTTTTCCTCAGATACGACCCAATCATCCATTCTCTCCTTAACCATATAGCCAGCGAGCCCAAGCCACAAGATATTTACGAAGGTGAGAGAGAGAGAGAGAACATGAATGGAGTTGTCGCCATCGAGAGATAGGGAGGCAGTGACACCGAGAAGGATAGAGACACAACAATCTAGGAAGCTTTGACGCTTGGGTGAAAGAAGAGGGAAACATCGAGTACGGTGGAACGTTGACGTCATCGTCGTGCAAGCAGACAGCTCTGGGGCTGCAAGATTAGAGCTTCCCTGCGGCTGAACCTCCAAGACAAAGCGAGAAAGTTGGAAATTGCTGTCAACCGCGCCTTTAGAGGGTGAGAAAAGAGAAGCTTTCTGCTATAGTTTGAAACTGCTGTAAACCCTCTTCAGTGCAAACCATCAAGCAAACAATAACGTACAAACCCCTATCGATATAATGCTTGCCACAGTCCCTAGTGATATAAGAAGCCCGAGTCCATCCCAAAATTGGCGCTGGTAAAGAATGATATGCGTGCCATGTTGAAAGGGGAAAACGACTGCAACCTGTCTCCATCAGAACGGGTAACTGCTACAATGAAAACACGGGTAACCGTTGGAAGCACTCACACTAAGGGCCTGTTTGGTTTGAGGGGAGGGGAGGGTAGGGAAGGGGAGGGGAGGTTTTATCCTCACCATATACCAGGCTTCATATACAGATAGAACATCTGAAAAAATATAGGCTCTGATACCAATAATGACTTTCGGGCATACCTGGAGTGTCTCAAGCCTCTTCAGATAGCCACACAGGGGTCCGATTATGGTAGGAACTCAGATCTTGATACACAGCAAATACACTAAGGGGAAGATGAAGAACAGAGAACGGAGGGAGGAGTCTGGAGAAAAAGAAAAACGTTGTCGCACAACTGATCCTTCAATTACGAATTTAACTTCATGTTTTTGAAAATGAAAAACTGCCTCCTCCGTAACTGCCTCCTCTGTCCAACCTTTCCCTCCTTTTTGCAAATTATATAAAAAGGAAAAAATTGCAGTTAGAGACCCACAAGTTTTGCTATTCATATCAGGACCCCAAATGTCAATAGGCTTGGGTCCAATCCACCAAGGATGGACTAACTCATTTTCTTACAGGATAGAAAAATAAAATTGGAGCGTGAGCTACAGGAGCAAGCTAATTCATGAAAGACATCTTAAAAGTTCCAAGGTTTTGGGGTGTTGGAGAAGATGGCTTTATGGCTTGTTTGGACACCAATTCAACCTTCATCTTTTGTGGCTTGATAAAACTTGTTTGAGTTTTGCAATGGCACAAAATCTCAGTGCACCAACCCTTCAATTAATAAGCATCCTGAAATATCAATATATAGTTAGAGTGCCATTGGTCTTATGATCTAGTGGCATGAAAGCTCCCCTATAAATAGGAGATTGTGGGTCCAGTCTCACTTATAACCTTATGCCGTGCCAATTTAATTTTTAAAAAAAAAAAAGTAGTTAGAGTGTGTACTCAATATGCATATCTTCTTCTTCTTTTTTGCCAGAGAGTACTCAATATGCATATCAATGTCAATGACATTGCGAAATTCAAACTTTTACAAAGACAACTATAACGTCATTAATTAGAGTACTAAATCTGTTGTTAATAGATAGATAGAGTTATCTCAGTACGTACTATAACCCCTTCTTGAATTATGAAATATCATTAATGTCATTTGAGATAAGTAGAAAAAAAGGAAAAGGACTACTATACCACGTTTGTTATTACCTTCCCCTACCACCTTTCTACCAATCATTTTCTTGTATGCTCTCTCCTATACTCTTTCCTTATATACCCGAAACCAAGAATCACATCTATGAATGACACAATCAAATACTATTCTTTTATTACCTGCACTTTAAATATGCATATCCCAGGAAGTGTATCAGCTCTCCCATACCACCTTTCCATCAATCACATTCTTTTATGCTCTCTTCTATACTCCTCCCTTCTATATGCGAAACCAAGACTCGCATCTATTAATGGCACAATCAAATCCTCTTCTTTTATTAGTACTTTAAATATGCATATCCCAATAAGTGTGTCAGATCATAATTCATTAATTAATCCCTCCCTTACTTTATATAAAAGACAATTAACCGAATCATGTTGATAGAAAGTAGGTTAAAATTAGTTTTAGGTACTAAAATATAACTTATTTTCCAAAACACCTTTATCTATGGAAAAATGGGTGGGATAGAGAATGAATAGAAAAAGAACTAAGAGAGAATGAATGGGAAAAAGATATGAGAGAGACATGTAATTAATTGAGAGTAAAAATGAAAAAGAAATGCAATCACAAAAAAAAAAAAAAAAACTTTTAGCGATGACTGTCACTACTTGCGTGGACTTATATTTTGCCCATTGAACTAACTTGTAATCATTCCCTATATACTTGTTGAATTGGATTTGTGGTTACCTAGTCCATGTGACTAACCTCGTAGTTTATTATTATTTTCCAGGCGAGGTTTTAAATGGGTTGCATTTAAGGACTGCTATAGAGGTTTAGGCTTGCATTGCGCCTTGTAAACCCTCCTTTGTTTAGTTATTTAGTGTTGACTTTATATGTTCCCACCTAACTCTACGAAAAAAAATGTAAATATATGTCGGTTAAATTTTGCTAGAATGGCAGCTTACCCAAAATGGGGGTGAATTTGTTGACATTGAAAAATTTCAAGCTAAATTTAAATTGCAACAAGTTAAACAAGAACAAGTTAGAAGGATTTCAACAAAGAAGTTAAGAGAAGAGCAGGACATAGGTGAATTATACGGGTTTGGGCTCCTAGTTAACCTTTGTCAAGTCTCTAGAGCACTTGAGTTTTTCACTATAACATCCAAGACTGAATAGGCTTTTGTGCCTTAGTACGCTAGGCAATTTGATCACTCGCTCCCCCTTACTACTCGTAAGAGTACATTCTATAACACCCCAAATTTTAAGGCTTTGAAAAATAGGGGGTTAATATAATCTTTGGTCCCTCAAGTTTGTCCTTATTTTAGTTTTGGTCCTTGAAGAAGCAAAATGATCCAAGTTTTTTTTGGTTTATAAGGACCAATGTTAAAAATGAAAAAAAAAAAGAAGAAGTTAAGGGACCAAAACTTATAGTTTGAAATTTACGAGATCAAAATCAAAATAAGGGTAAACTTGAGGGACTAAGGTTTGAATTGACCCAAAAATAGGCTATTAAAGAAGTATCAAATTCAAAGAAATTATTTTAAGGATTAGAGCCTCAAAATTATTTTATTGGCCAACAAAAAGACTTTTTTGTGATGAAATTTTAAAGACATTAAGGAGAAAAGAAAGTATTTTGCCTAAGAAGATTTGGGGAACATTATGGAATGTTATTTTGAAAATATAAAAATTTGATAGAGAGGTTTATTTCCTAAAAAAAAACACTTAAATAATTTTAAAGCTAATTTCTAGAGATAAGGGCCTATTTTTCCTAAAAATTAAAAAAAAAGTTAGAGGTCAATTTTTGAGCCAAGATTTTTACGATAAGCATTTTGTAAGGTAAATAAGTTCATTGAGGAACAAAATCCTTATAAAGTATTAGGGATTAATTTTCAGAACTTATTTGGTAAGTTCAGCACCACTAAAAAGAGGGGTAAAAATGTAATTTCACTACCTCGAGTTCAAAAATGAAATTGAAGCCAGGGTTAAGCCAAAAACTAAAGCCAAAAATGTGCTGCCATTACTAAGAAGATTAGGCTTCACATTTTGTAAAGATTTGGCCCAATAAATGCTTAAAATTTAGGCTTATGGGATTAGCTTCCATATGTGAGAGACCAAGTTAAATAACTCTCTCCATCCACTTAACCATCTTACCTTTACTCTCATTCCTCATTTTTTATCAATAGAAGAAAAGTTTAGAGTGAGGGAGAGTTTAGACCAAGAAAAAGAAGAGGGAATGAGGAAGAACCAGAATACTCAAAATTTTACATGCAAACTTGAATCTAGATAGAAGTGTATCACACCTTACTTTTATACCACATATTATCTTAAATGGAACCATTTTGGATCATTTGTTATGGCCTTAAGTTGGAAAAAGTTGAACTTTAAAATTTCTTAAATTCGAATTACTATTCATTGTAACCCTTACAAAGGCCAAATTTTGAAAATTCATAATTACTTTTAGAAAAATCAAAACAAGATGGTTCCTAGTTTTATGGAAAGCTCTTGACATGCTCTATAAAGAAAAATTACTAATTGGCATCCAGAACTTATGCATCAATCCTAGATTTCATTCAAAGTGGTACTATTTATTTAGTCTTTTTCAAATTTTCAGGATTTATGCCTAATTTTGGAAGGGTATAACTTTCTGTGCAAAACTCTAAATTTGATGAAATATCACTTGTTTTAAATCTAAAAATATGATCTATAAAACTACCAAGTTTCAATTCAAAATTCAACATATTGCACAAAATTTTGTTGGTCAAATTTGGCCCTTAAAAAGTCAACTTTCATCCCTTTTTCATACACTTCTTGGTTTCTCTTTTCTTTTCCTTTCACATAACATTCCTAATCATATGACACATACTTAAATATGATTCCTTAATCAATTGCTCACATATAAGCATCCCCAATCTTTAATACAATGTTCCAACATAATTCATAAATATATATAGCAATACATAACAATGTGTAATAATTACAAAGCATAACTTCAATAACATTAAGCTCAATCATCCTCCAAAATAAATCCCTTTCCTTTCTCCTTACTTGATCCAACCCCTAGTGGGTGAATAGTGGATTATAAAGAAATGAGATTTCATAGAAATCTTAGTGGGAATGAATCATAATCATTTTGTTGATCAAGTTTTGCATAATACATTACGTTACAATACTCGAGAACATTTTCAAGTCACATGTCATGCGTTATGCTATGAGATAAAACAAGCTCATAATCATGTTGGCATATCATTATGCATGTGGCCAAAGCATATCAATTATCATAAAATCGACCATTACCATAACATAATTCAATCAACATAAAAACAAGCAACATAAACACATTAAGCAAGCAAGATAAACAATCAAATTATAGATTCAATGCTATCTCTTATACTTGAACCAATTCGGTTTCTTGAAGGTTTAGTGTTCTCCTTGGTTCTTCTCCATAAAGCCTATTAATTCAAGCATAATTACAAGCTACATTAACAACCATTCAAGTTTGAACACAAACACTTAGCCTTAAACCTTATTAAATCCCCCTTTTCTTTGATTTTTGACATAATTATTCCTCTTTTGATTCCAATAATCTCTTAGCTCACTCTTATATAATTTTTTATGTAAAATCCAAATATCTATTTAGATTTATCAAAATCACACTCA